GTTTTTTATTCGTTTAATTTACCTGAAAAAAAATGCCCAAATGTAGCAGGTTTGAATGAAGTTTATAATTAAACTATTCTTCTACCTTTATCCTATAATGTTAATTGCTCGAGGAAGTTAGTGCACACTTGCGCGATCTATAATAATAGAAACAGAAGCTGGAAAGACCTTATTATACGACTTATCGTGTATTTTCTTTATGGTTTCAACAGAATTAATTTAAAATAAGTTAATAAACCCAAAGGAATTGTGTATTGTTACTTTTGTTTCAGATGTTTCCGCGTCAGTTATTTCGAATTTATGTATGGGTGGGTATAATAGGGAATACCTACATACACAATCTACATGCGTACATCTCCTAGAAACACAAAACTACATTCCTACAAGCATGATATAAGATAGAAAGGTAGATGTAGTAAAGATGCGGTGGTATTTAACGTAAACGTTTATATTTACAACCGCACCCAACTTCCAGCCTAACCATTTAACCCTTGTTTCATCTACGGTACAATGAAGAAACTTATGAGAGAAGTAAATATTTTTCGACAAAACAAACAACAAATTTTGATATTTTTCAAATAACTAATTAATGTATCAAGTCGAAGTTAAAGTAGTTGTGTCGTACTGAATTGAGTTTACCAAGTGAGTACAAAAATACAAAATTGTCAAATTCATTTTTAATTTTTTAATTTTTAACATCAGGCATGGAAAGCAAAAGATATGGACAGCAAAGTCTGCTTAATTCAATAAGAAACTATCCTGAATTTTTTGAAACAGTTCGGCAGGCAATAAGGAGAAAATTAGGAATTGAATGCATGGATCCTAGTTGGTGGTACCCACTTTCAATAATTCTTGTAAATTAAGAAGCTTTACATGTAATAATAATTACAATTAGAAGCTTTATGTGTAATAATTTGATTGGTTCAAAGCATTGACCGCCTTGTAACTTCAAAACAAACAGAGATGTGATTAATTTAAAATACTTGCATTGAAAATGCAAATACAAAATAAAAAATACCTATTTTTATCTTGCATTTAAATACTTTTTTGAGAAAAGCATTTTGTATTTTATTTAAATACTTTTCCAAACGTATTTTCTATTTGTAAAATGCAAAATACATTTTTGCCGTTAAAAGCTTTGCTAGCAACACCGATCAAACATTTCATAAAATGATGAATGAAAGTTGGACACATTGGCCATTGAAGATATTAGAAGCTTAAAAAGGGGACAAGCAGACATTCCATGAATGCCTACTGATTCTTTAACTGAAGAGAGCCCGAAAAAATGTAAACTCCTTGGAAATGGATAATCTGAAATATTGGATGGTCCATGGAATTATGAAGTTCGAAATTGATATCAGCACTTGTCAAATCACCACTTATCGTACCTTTAACAAGAAACTACGAAATTCTATGAATTAAGACAAAACAACCCCCAAAACAATCAATTTGTGTAAAACTGAAAACTACAAGATATTGTGGTGAGCTAATAAATGCCTATAATCTGAAACTCTTAGAAAACGATTCGAAAAACTTACCAAATAACAAAACATTCTTACAACAACTCAGGGAATAACCCTTTCAAGTTTTGTCATGTGTTTAATAAACACCCTGTATATGTATGTACCTTTTGTTCTTTCATTCTAAGTACCAAAAAAATTAATAGTAATTTAATAAGCCCATCAATATTTATTGAAAAAGTCGGCATGAAAAATCCCATTAGGAACGTGCTCCTTGTATCAAATTAAATGTGTATACATATATCTATACAAATACGGCTAAAGTGCTCAGTTTACTTTTATCGATTTATTAAGTAATCCAGGTATCATTTTCTTTGAATTTTAAATTAGCTGTTTTTAAGTAAAGGAAAATTTTCTACAGCACAATCAACACAATAAAACAAGATTTGGCCGCAAAAACAAAAAATTCAAAAACAATAGTGTACAGAAAGATCGTCTTGCGTCAGTCCTAGTGTGGTGGGACAAAATAAAAGTAAACAGTATGATGAAGTAGCACAGGAATACAAATACGACGAAGTTTTATCCTGTGTTTATGTAAACTACAGGCTGATGCTTGCAACATTTAGGGATATTGAAGTCGAGCTTGTGTAAAGGCGAAAGTACTACATATAGCTGCATACAGGGTGTCTCACGATCACCACCCATTAGAATATTTCCGAAACTACTTCGATTTAAAATTTGAAATTTGTACAATGGCGTTATTAGGTATACTCTCCTCAATTAAAATATCGGCATCTATGTAGCACTTCCGGCATGAATGTATAGCTACATTGTACTTGTGTATGTAACTGGTTGCTTTCGACAATTAGAATGTAAACCAGGGAACTTCGATGTTCCTTGAAAGTTCTTCAATGTTCTTCAAAGCTTACGTGAAAATTTAAGTGTATTATGTGTCCTATGTATGACGTTTTCTCTCATCGACGCCATGTTTTTTAGGCTCCTCCCATTTGACAAGTCCTTATATTTGGTAACTCATTCTGACAAGTGCATCCTAACATTCAAAGATTGATTTTTGGAGTAGATATTATTTGAGCAACGTCTTCTATTCGATTATGGTGTGAAAGATCGTCGTGATTAAAATAACCCAGTACGACAGGTCTTTAAGACATTCTAATTTCAAATTAAAAAAATTCAATTTTCGACCTCTTTGCAACATGAAATAAGAACTAAGTAACTAAGCAAGATTTTCAAATAGTTCAATCCTGTAATCAAAATGCTGCTAGTTTGGCTTCCTTGGGTTAGATCTGAACCCAGAATAAATATGATTCAAATTCAAAATTGAAATTCAACGGTAAAAAAATATTGAGCAGATAGAGGCCACAAATTGCATTCTTTTGAATATGAGATGCGAATATCTCAAAATCCAGATCCGTCGCAAACTACGTTGAAAATGACATGTCTGGTTTGTTAAGGATTAGAAAAAGAAGAAACAATTTTATTCTGGAATTGCTGTAAAAGTTGAACCAAAATGGTCCGGTTTCCGCGCAGTTGAAATCCTAGTGTTTTGATAAAACAAAACATTTGTGATGTTGTCAATATAGCAATTGTCTATTGTTTAAAGTTCATAAATAATAAATTGTTGTAAAGCCCACAGGTGGTGTTGGTCAAGGGTCGGTTGGCCTAATTGTGAACTTGCATAAATTTGAAACTATAACACGGAAAGTGCTGCACTGTTTGTTGGATTGAATAATTCGAACTTGGTTGGTATACTTTACATGAGATGGCTTTGTGCCGTGTTTTGCAAAGCAAACACGCTGTTTAATAGTGTTCCCTGTTCGATTTACTGCGTTTTGGGGACAAACTGTTGAATTTATAATAAGCTCGACACGGTACCTCTGTATTACGTTCGTTTTCGAAACTCAAATATGAATAACTATAACGAAGGTTACTAACAAAGAGAGACAGACAGAGAGATAATATTTGGACTGTTTTTGTTAGTCGGCCATCTTTCCCTTTTAGTAGTTACACATATATACACACACACGCACGCACAATAGATCAATATAGGCAATTAAAAATTCAAAAATTTAATGTACCTACGTGTGTATTTCATTTCGTTTTGTTTTCAGTTTAGCATAGCTTTTAAGCCGTGATGTGCATGGATAAATTCAGTGCCGTATTGGGGGAGGTAGATGGCGCTTTGATCCTGGGAGGCGCAAATAAATATGAAGAAGGGTTGCAAAAATGTATTAGGTACAGTTATAGCCACTGGGTAGTTATGTTAGGTGTACCAATTTATTGGTATTTGAACTTGTTTTTAACAATTTGTGCCAAGTAACAATACCGCCTGGTGAGTAAAAATACCATGATTTTTTGTTTTGGTAAAAATGTGTGAAAAGCAACAGTTTTGTGTTTCACCGTAAAATCGTTCTTTTATACTTAATGCAATAAAAGTTGAAGGTCGAATGGTCGAATCTTAAAGCAATTCACTTTATGGGGGACTTTAAAGTTTAACCTTCCATTTTATTTTGATTGTTATATAGAAAGGAACTAAGACGTTCAAGGGATTTTAAAGCATGAACTCATTTTTTCTCTTTTTTGTAACAAAATTGATTTTCATTCGATAAAACAAAGTATTGAAAAAAAAGAGTTATTTGCATAAAAGTAAAAAAAAAAAATGAAACTTCTGAATTTTTTTGTTTACTTGTTTTTCATAAATTAAAAATTCTCTTTAAATTTAAGCTACTTCGATAGAAAATCACATGTTCTACAAAATCTCCTATAAAATACCCACAAATTTTACTTCGTTTTCGAGATATACTCAAAAAAACGTTAGGGATGCATTTTCATATGCATCTATAGGTATGTCTGTAAGGGAAAGATTTGTAAATAAGTCCATATATTTTCAATTTACGCTAATAATTTAGTGCTAGTTATTCTCTTCAAACGCAAAGTTAAACGTATAAGTTTTCATGTACACCTTTTACTGCAATCTCAACCAATTTAAACAAATTATTAAGGGCGGCAATTTTAGGGTTCACCCCTTGTGGCAAAAATTTTACGCTACGCCACTGGATAAATTATGTATTATGCCCATACGTAGGTATAAAGTTTTATCGAAGGGTTTCGAGAAAGGTTGAATTAGACGTGTGTTCTTCTAGAGAAGGAGCAAAATAATTCCGGAAATTGCTACTGCTAACGGCAATTAATACCGATGAATGATTGATTTGGCAGGAAATACAGATTTTAATAATTCTTGTTGCCATTTGTAGATTTCACAAACAGTAATTGATACATTGCGATCCATTTGCAGGAACAATATGTAAGCGATAAACACATAATGATTAAACAATGACTGAAATGTCGAATGGCCACTTTGAATACATTACCAATCAACATACATATTACCTTCGTTACATTTCGTTTCGTTTTATTGTTGTTTCAATTCCGACATTTAACAAAATCATTTAAATCGCTTTACACTCATTAAATAAAGTTTGGGTACTTTAGGAAAAGTTAAAAACTAAATTTTTGACTTACTCGATGTATCTTGCTTAGGCTGGGCAGAACTCAGATGGATTGGGTTATTGGGTTGAGTTTGAACAATTGGTTGCACAGCAAGCAATGAAGGTCCAGTAGTTCCTGTCCATCCACTTTTTACATCCTTAAAATAAAGAAACATTATTTAGGATTGATATATTTTACTCTTTCACAATCAATATGTATATATGTACCTATGCAAATAAAACTAGACGTGCAATGTTTGTTCATGGCACCATCAAATATTTTGACTAAAATAAAACATTTGCAATTTCTTATCATGCTCGACATTTCTGTACTTTGATAGGGGGGTGAGTTTGTTAGTTAATCACCAGCCGTTTAGAATAAGTGGGAATGTATTAGAATGTTCTTCATTGATTGTACGGTGGTCCTTACTCTTTAGTTAGAATGTTCTCAAATGTCTCTAAGGATTGTCCTTAGCTAGAAAGTAGGTACTAGAATAAACAGGACGAAGAGTGGAGGACGTTAAGAGTCGACCACCGGTCACCAAACATCTGTTTAGAGTAAATGAGAATGTATTAGAACATACTTCATTGTATATAGGGTGGCCCTATGAAGTGAACACGAAGAGTGGAGGACGTTAAAGGTTGACCACCGGTCACCAAACATCAGTTAAGAATGAGTGAGAATGTATTAGAATATACTTCACTGTTTATAGGGTGGCCCTTAGGTAGAATGTACTAGAATGAAGTGGACACGATGAGTGGAGGACGTTCAGGGTCGGCCACCGATCACCAAACATCCAATTAGAATAAGTGAGAATGTAGTAGAATATACTTCATTGTTTGTAGGGTAGCCCTTAACTAGAATGTATTAGAGTGAACAGGACAAAGAGAAGAGGACGTTAAGGGTCAACCACCGGTCACCAAACATCAGTTAAGAATGAGTGAGAATGTATTAGAATATACTTCACTGTTTATAGGGTGGCCCTTAGGTAGAATGTACTAGAATGAAGTGGACACGATGAGTGGAGGACGTTCAGGGTCGGCCACCGATCACCAAACATCCAATTAGAATAAGTGAGAATGTAGTAGAATATACTTCATTGTTTGTAGGGTAGCCCTTAACTAGAATGTATTAGAGTGAACAGGACAAAGAGAAGAGGACGTTAAGGGTCAACCACCGGTCACCAAACATCTGTTTAGAGTAAGTGAGAATGTATTAGAATATACTTCATTGTATATAGGGTGGCCCTTAGCTAGAATGTACTACAATGAAGTGGACACGATGAGTGGAGGACGTTAAGGGTCGGCCACCGCTCACCAAACATACAATTAGAATAACTGAGAATGCATTAGAATATACTTTTTAGGGTAGCCCTTAGCTAGAATGTATTAGAGTGAACAGGACGAAGAGAGGAGGACATTAAGGGTCAACCACCTGTCACCAAACATCTGTTTAGAGTAAGTGAAAATGTATTAGCATATACTTCATTGTTTGTAGGGTAGCCCTTAGCTAGAATGTATTAGAGTGAACAGGACGAAGAGAGGAGGACATTAAGGGTCAACCACCTGTCACCAAACATCTGTTTAGAGTAAGTGAAAATGTATTAGCATATACTTCATTGTTTGTAGGGTAGCCCTTAGCTAGAATGTATTAGAGTGAACAGGACGAAGAGAGGAGGACATTAAGGGTCAACCACCTGTCACCAAACATCTGTTTAGAGTAAGTGAAAATGTATTAGCATATACTTCATTGTTTGTAGGGTAGCCCTTAGCTAGAATGTATTAGAGTGAACAGGACGAAGAGAGGAGGACATTAAGGGTCAACCACCTGTCACCAAACATCTGTTTAGAGTAAGTGAAAATGTATTAGCATATACTTCATTGTTTGTAGGGTAGCCCTTAGCTAGAATGTATTAGAGTGAACAGGACGAAGAGAGGAGGACATTAAGGGTCAACCACCTGTCACCAAACATCTGTTTAGAGTAAGTGAAAATGTATTAGCATATACTTCATTGTTTGTAGGGTAGCCCTTAGCTAGAATGTATTAGAGTGAACAGGACGAAGAGAGGAGGACATTAAGGGTCAACCACCTGTCACCAAACATCTGTTTAGAGTAAGTGAAAATGTATTAGCATATACTTCATTGTTTGTAGGGTAGCCCTTAGCTAGAATGTATTAGAGTGAACAGGACGAAGAGAGGAGGACATTAAGGGTCAACCACCTGTCACCAAACATCTGTTTAGAGTAAGTGAAAATGTATTAGCATATACTTCATTGTTTGTAGGGTAGCCCTTAGCTAGAATGTATTAGAGTGAACAGGACGAAGAGAGGAGGACATTAAGGGTCAACCACCTGTCACCAAACATCTGTTTAGAGTAAGTGAAAATGTATTAGCATATACTTCATTGTTTGTAGGGTAGCCCTTAGCTAGAATGTATTAGAGTGAACAGGACGAAGAGAGGAGGACATTAAGGGTCAACCACCTGTCACCAAACATCTGTTTAGAGTAAGTGAAAATGTATTAGCATATACTTCATTGTTTGTAGGGTAGCCCTTAGCTAGAATGTATTAGAGTGAACAGGACGAAGAGAGGAGGACATTAAGGGTCAACCACCTGTCACCAAACATCTGTTTAGAGTAAGTGAAAATGTATTAGCATATACTTCATTGTTTGTAGGGTAGCCCTTAGCTAGAATGTATTAGAGTGAACAGGACGAAGAGAGGAGGACGTTAAAGGTCAACCACCGGTCACCAAACACCGTACAGAATAAGTGAGAATGTACTAGAATATCCTTCATACTTTATGGGGTGGCTCTTAGCTAGAATGTTCTGTATTGTCCTTAGCTGGGATTTACTAATACGAACTGGAGGACATTAAGGGTCGACCACTGTCTACCAAACACCAGTTTAGAATAAATAAGACTGCATTACAATGTTCTTCATAGTTTATATATCTCTATAGACTTTCATAGCTAGAACGTATTAGAATGAAATTAATGAAGATTTGAGGATGTTAAGGGTAGACCACTGACCACCAAACACCCGTTTAGAATAAGTAAGAATGCATTACAATGTTCTTCTTCGTTTATGTGTCTCTGAAGATTGTCCCTAGCTAGAAGATAGTAGAATGAAATGGACGAAGAACTGATAACGATAAGGGTAGACCACCGGCCACCATACTCATATAGAATGCAAACTCGGTAAAGCGGGTTGTGGTCAACTAGTATAAGTATACATTGTAGGTTTGCAGGTGCATTATACATTACAGTTTATATAAATATTGATTGCAACAATGGGAGATATAATTACTTAAATGGATGTCTAACTACTAAAGCGACTGTCTCGTCTGTTCTGAAATTAATGATAGGGTATACCAAGTAGCAAGCAGAAACCTGTTTTCCCTGTATACATGTACTAATTTCATGGTGAAATTAAATTTATGTTTAAATAGGAATCAAACGATCTGACAATGTGAATTTACACTGCACAGACTAATCCATCTTCATAATTGATATTTAGAGGTGTGCGATAAATTTTGTAGGTAGATATCATCCATGTGGAAAAGAGTAATGTTAATTTCTCTGAATTGACTAGTTGCATGAGCCATTCAATAGGTTTTTAAAATTAAATTCTGTATGAACTTTAATTACCTATTTCGTGTCTGTTGTGTACAAAATTAAACTAAAAAGTTAAAATCGGAAATCATCCCCTAATTTTCCACCCTTAGAGGTAGAATACTTTCTTCAAATTTAAATGAGATCGCTTTTAAGATATCGTATATCCAATAAAAAAGAATCATTAAAATCGGTATCTACACAAAACATCACTACACAAAAGAATACAATACCTTTCTTTTAAGATCGTTTGAAGCATTGATTGTAATAGCGTGAAACTAAATAAAAATGTTTAAAAAAAAGATACATGTTTAACCACTTGTTAAAGTTTAAAATTTTAAAACTAATGATATGTATTTATTGCTTCAATCGTGTCCCTAATAGGTATAAACAGTGCGCAGTTAGATTTATTGATCTTATAGAACACTGTTTAAAATTTTAATAATAAATCAGGTACAGCATATAATTACAGTCAAATATGTGCTATTAAAAAGATACACCGTTGGAAAACTAAATAATCTTTCAAATAAAAGCTTTGAATTATAGAAACTGTGTCGTTTAACGAAGCACGTGAGGGAAAAATAGGAAATCTTATTAAATTGTTTTTTTTTTTTTTTATAATTCAATAGTTGTACTAGAAACAAAGAAAAATTATACGCTGTTTTAGATGGAATTAATTATTCAAGTAATGAATACGTTCATATATGCAAGTACATATTTCATTTGTCTTAATGATAGTAATGAAAAAAAAATTGGAAAAACAGGTGAAAAGAGTAACGGGGTATGACTGTATTTTATGTTGTCATGCTACAGCACGCAATATTGCCTGACACAGACCATATTACACACAGATAGTATCTCTCTAGCCGGCAAAGCACGATGAAGTAGCTAACTCTATAATGTATATAACCACAATATAACTAACACCAAACTTACACCTAAATAAATTAAATAATTTCATAAATAATAACGGGTGCCAAACCCCCTACAAAAAAATCAAAAAATTTACTTACAATAATAAAACATTTAGTTTGCGTTTTACGAGGAATTCGTTGATAAATCCGACGCGTTTGGAACGGTTAACTCATTATTAACAAAGAGCTTTTTCAAACTTACTATGACGAAGAGGTATTCGCTTTTAGCTTTATATGTGATTGAAAGAAAAAAAGGGAAAGCTTATACGTACACAGAATTCGTAGATCTAAAAAAAGCTTTTGACGCTGTTAAATGGGAAAAGATGTATTTAAGAATGTAAGGTTCAGATATGCAGGGATAGAAGAGTGATACGCATACAATTTGTATTGAGAGCAACAGGTAGCGCCAGAATTTGAACAGCAACATAGAGACGTAAACATTAGGAAGAGATTTAGACAAGGAAGTACCTATACATAGTCACCGCTACGTTTTAATTTATAGATACATATATCGGAGATGCCATTAAGATTATTAAGGACAGGACTGCTTCAGGGATACTGAACAAGAGATCCGAGTCTTAGTCTTGCCTATTCGGTTTTGGTCTTGTTGATATAAAGACAATCTTTGTC